TACTTCTACTACTTCTACTACTTCTACTACTTCTACTACTCCTGCTCGTACTCCTCCTACTCCTACTCCTACTCCTACTCCTACTCCTACTCCTACTCCTACTCCTACTCCTACTCCTCCTCCTATTACTACTACTACTACTGCTACTACTGCTACTACTGCTACTACTACTACTACTACTGCTACTACTACTACTACTACTACCCTCACCACCGCCACTACCACAGCTACAACTAAGATTACAACTACACTGCATTACACTGGACTACACTTATTACACTGCAGTACACTACAACTACAAATACAACTACAACTACACTACAATTGCACAACACTACACTAAACTATAAATTACATTACAGTACATTACATTACATTACACTACGCTACGCTACGCTACACTACACTACACTACACCGCACACCACACCACACCACACACTACGCTACGCTACGCTACACTACGCTACACCACACCACACCACACCACACTAACACTACACTACACTACACTACCCTACGCTACACCTACACCTACACCTACACCTACACCTACATCTGCACCTGCACCTGCACCTGCGCCTGCATCTACACCTACACCTACACCTACACTACACCTACACTACACCTACACTACACCTACACCTACACCTACACCTAAACCTACACCTACACCTACACCTACACCTACACCTACACCTACATATACACTACACCTACACTACACCTACACTACACCTACACCTACACCTACACCTGCCCCTGCCCCTGCACCTGCACCTACACCGACACCTACACCTACACCTACACCTACACCTACACCTACACCTACACTACACCTACACTACACCTACACTACACCTACGCTACACCTACACTACACCTACCTACACTACACTACACCTACACCACACTACACCCTACACCTACCCCTACCTACACCTACACCCTACACCTCACTACCCTCCACCTACACTACCCTACACTCCCTCCCCTACCCTACAACCTACACTACACCTATACCCTACACTAACACCTACCCAGACGCCCTACCCTATCCCTGCCCTACCACTACACTACACCCTACACTCACACTATACTACCACCCACTACTACCCACTACCTCTCCCCTCTAGCCCCTACACCAACCCCTACCCCTGCCCCTGCCCCTGCCCCTACCCCTACCCCTACCCCTACACTACACTACACTACACTACACTACACTACACTACACTCACCACACAACAACTACAACTGCAACTACACTACACTAACAACACTACATTACAACTACGACTCCACTACGCTACACTACAACTACAACTACAACTGCGCTACACCACTCTGCAGCCAGCAGTTGTTGTGAGGTGGCCACTGCAACCATTGCAACCACTCCAAAAAACACAGCTCCAACCACCTTCCGGTGCGTCAGTGGATTCGCTCTGCCATCCGTGATTCACAACAACCAACTTCTCCTATAGGTTTCCTATTTCTGAAACTTCCGCCACCACCTTGTGCGGTACTACTGGTACAGTATGCATATTCGCTAAAGTTAAGACTACATAAGACATACGCAGACTCAGACATGTACGCCACATACACACAAGCACACGCAGATGCTGGCTTTTTGATTGTATAAGGTCAAACATTTCGAACCATTTTGAGGACTTGAATCCTTAAATAGTTGGCTTGAACACCACGGCGCTGAGGTCCGCTAT